AGTACATTCTTATAAGAAATGGTATTAATCCTCGAGTTTGTTACATATTATACATTTTCTTTCATTTCTTGGAATTTTGTTAGGTTTATGCTATCTCCCTGTTTCGATTTATAACCTATGTGCTGAAACTCTAAATCTTGTTAATGCTATTCTAAATTTCTGAATGTTAATTTGTTCAAGATACAATTTAAAATTAAAGTTTAAAAAAAGAATGGAAAGGTGAATTGCGTAGAGATTCTGTCCAGTTTTGCATGTAGTTATCTTTAAGTCTCTGTTTTACCGAATTCAAAAATAAAATTTCATTTCCCACTCCCTGATTAACCAATACATGATAAAACCCTAGTCTCTGAAGTAATTGTTTAATTGCATTAGCCCAACATTTATAATTTTTTTTTTCTATATTAAATAGAGTAGTGAAGTAGTTGGTTGTAAACCTTTTTTAATGAACAAATGTTGTTCCGATTTCAATATTTTAAACCAAAATTTTAAGATTCGTATCATTCTAAGCTGTATTAATTGTTCTCTGCCTAATTCTCCATAAACGAAGTTATTTTGAGTTTGTGGCCTTACTCCTAATAAAATTTTGCAAAATTTCAAATATATATTTTCTATCTTTTTTGCTTCCATGAAACCCCATACCTCGCATCCAAAGCTTAAAGTAGGTGTTATTAACTTGTCAAAAAGGTCGAGTATGTGTGAAACTAAGATATTAGGGAAGTTTTCATATAAGAGTTAAGTTTAAAAATTGCCTTTAATGCTTGTCCTGAAAGTGCTTCAAGGTTTTGGAAAATGACCCTCCCACTGTAAAAACGATTCCTAAATATCTGAATTTATTTACTATTTCAATTTCTGTATTGCCATATAAAAAACTTAGATTCTGCTGATTTCTCCCACCCTTTTTAAAAACCATTATTTTTGTTTTATTTACGTTTAGTTTTAGTTTCCATTCGTCGCAATGATCTTTTAAAATATTTAATCCCTTTTGAAGATCTTCTTTTGTTTCCAATATAATAGCAATGTCGTCCGCGTATAATAATAGGAACAATTTCAGACTACCTAAGTCTTTGCCTTTAAAACCCTTAAATATAAAAGTATCTTCTAAGTCATTTATGTACATAGAGCAGAGGAAAGGGGACAAGCTGTCCCCTTGACGGACCCCTAATGAACACATAAAAGTTTCGCTCAATGTATTTGATACTTTGATTCTAGATTTGACGTTTGCATACATAGATTTCAAAACTTTCATTACTTTTACTCCTAATTTTATCAGATTTAACCATAGATTATCCCCAACAATAAAATCAAATGCTTTTGTAAAGTGAACGAAGCAAACAAAATGACGTTTATTTTCAGAAATTATACGGATAATGATACTTTGTAATACATAAATATTATCTACAGTTCCCATCTTTGACCTAAATCCTGCTTGTGCGTCAATGTAAACGTGTATTAAGTATTTCTGAAAAAAGTTTACCTAGGCTACTTAGTAATGTCACTCCCCTGTATTTTTCTGGTAAATTATTATCTCTAATTTTATAGATAGGTATTATAAAACCTTCCGACCACATTTGGGGAAAATAACCTTGTGATAGTAATTTGTCGAAAAGCTTGAGTAAATATGGTAGTAGCGAGTTAATTCCGTATTTGTAAAATTCATTTATATAATAGTTGGGTCCTCCGTAAGTTCTGAGCATGCGCGTAATATTTCAATTTCCGTGATTTCTAAATCAAGTTCATCAAACATTCACTGAAATTTACCATTGAAATATAGTTCGTTAAAATTCATTGCATCATCGTCCGGTTGAAAAAAAATTGAATCTTGGCTCTTTATCGCTTTAAAGTATTCGGCGAAATGTGTACAGGACATACTATGTTTTTCTGCCTGTATACCTATATTCTTTAATAGCTTCCAATATTCTTTTGCATTTTTATAACGAAATTTTTCTAATGTTTTGGTTACCTGAATATCGTGATTAAGCTTTTTATTTCTAACTAATGTTTTATACTCCGTTCTAGATTTTACCACATTTATTTTATTTCCTGTAGCGTTATCTGCTCTACAAAAGTTTCTATAAAATTCTTTTTGTTTCCCCTTACAGTCATTATCGTACCAATTATTCCTTTGTTTCGTTTTTTTCCTGGTTATTTGCCCTTTTTCTGAGGATTTGATCGCATACACTGGGCAATCGTCCGTCAATATTCCAAGTCTGACGAATTGTTATGGGTCGAATGGTCGAGTGGCCGAATCGTTTTTTTACCCATTAGTAATGAGGCAATAACAGCTGAATTTCTAAACATAATTCTTTTCATAAATCTAAGTGAAAGGAAAATCATGTGTAAAAACGTATTCAAAAAAATTGCTTACGAAATTTCGATTTTTCTTTCAAACAAATCGAAGCTGCGATAATAATCTTCGGCTTTTTTAAAAGTATATGCAGGCAAATAAGTTTTGTTACGGAGCTCCATACTCGTTTTGTAAAACATTTTAGAACACTTTTATTGCATAGTTGTAAATCAGGAACTTTATTTGATTAAATATCTATTTTAGATGTTTCGTCTCATTTATATATTTCTGACGACTATTGATCTACTATATTTACGATGTATTTACTCATGCTTGCACGCGCATGCGTTTATGCAAATTTTAACGCGTAGGTATATACTACGAATTTATCAATGGACTGTTATTTTTTGTTTTCTATATAGAAATGTATCATTTAATGACAATAAACGATTTGGGAATTTCAAAGCATTATAGTAAATTTGTAAGCAATATTTTGAGAACGTGTAATCGGAATGTAACAATACTGCAGAATTAAGAACTAGTTTCTATAGCGGATTTTATCCGGAAGTGGATTATGTTCGGTAGAGGCTGAACCTGTAACGATTATGGATATTTAGCTTATAACTCTGTATACATTGCAAGCAATGTATACAAAAATGATTATAATTCGTTACCAAATGCGAAACTGATTGTCGTATGTTTAACAAAGCACATTGAAACATTTAACCATGAAATAAATTGGCATATAATATCGCCGCCTTTGCTTAGATCAATTTATGAGTTTATCTATATATTTACAAAAAAATAAAACAAACAAGTTATGACAGTTTTTCCTTATGTTATACTTCCTGATGCGGTAAGTGTTAAATGTTTGTATCCTTGATGTACTCATAACTTTGTGATATTGAAACATGAGCGTTCATTAGAAGTGGATTTATTTTTGAATATGAATTTTAAATTGTTTATATGTTTTCGAGTACTTTGTGCAGTTATATTTTAGTATTGTTTACACATAGACCCATTGCTTATGTCTAAAGTATTCTGTTGAATTACTTCAAGTTAACCAGAGATTGGTTCCATGTTCGTAGGGGGCGAAATTTCTTAGTGACAACTGATCTCGGACGTTGAGTTTATTAGTCATTTGTCTCTCACCGTCAGATAAGTAGTCAGCCACTTGCGGAGAAATGTGGTAATAAGTGTTATCAGCCATTCTCAGTTACGTAATTACTAGGGTACTGTTGTACTGAATTAAAATGTGGGTAAAAAAAGGGCAAAAAAAAACCACATTATTTTTTCTATACTGCAGTATGTGTTTGAATTGTTTTTCATTAATAATTATGTATTGATTCTTATGTATGAACTGTACTAGAACTTTGTGTTGCTCTGTGCTATGCATGTGACTAATTGTATGTAAAGTAATTGACATTTATTATCCCTTGCATTTGTATGTATGCAAACAGAGAATATGTAAATAAAAACTTGAAACTTGAAGATTCCCATTTGTTTTAATTGATGAAAAATCTTATCAGTTTTTTTTTGTTTTTGTTTTTTTTGTCATTGTTTACAAGAAATAAAAGAAGATCCACTTTGTAAGTCCATCGTGAACTTGATATTACTTTCAAAACATATTTATAATAATTTGTTGCATAATTGTCCCTATACATGTACAGATATTCGATAAATCAACCGTTTGTTAAACTTCGGCCAAGTTCGTGATATTCCGGCCAAGTTCGTTTAAATGGAATGTTACTTTAAGTTTATAAAAGCCGGACATAGAAAAAAGATGAATTTTTAAGGTCTTGTAAGGAATCGTCCATCTTTTGCAAAGACTTTTAATTTTGGATTTTATTGAGTCTACTCAATTGTATGTTTATTTGATATGTATATTTTGATATGTTTTGTGACCTTTATCATTAATATATTTATTGAATTATTTAACAAAACATATTTCATTTTCACGCATCATTAAATCAACATCACTTGCATCTTTGTGTTTAATCTGCCCGGCCAGCTTTCAAAACATCACATGGCTTATCAAATAATAGAGAAAAACAGAATCCCTAAAGAAAACCCAGCACGGCAAAACTGAAAATGTTGCAGGCTAGGTTTGATTGGGCCTGTTCATGGACGGTACTGGAAAGTGCAAGTTACCGTCCACGCCCCCTAGCACCGGAAGCAGAATTCAACATTTAAACACGAAAAGGTAAAAATTTTGAACTCTTTAGAACATCTTCCAGATTGTTCATACGGGCGGTTTTCTAAAACTTTTTTTAAGAAAAGAACGAAAACTCCAGTTTGCCCACGCAAATAAAATGGTAAAAATGCTAAAATCCTTTGGTTTTTGAAATTTGGGGGTCAAAGACAATAAAATAATCCACTTTTTGATTAATTTTAATTCATTTACGTTTTTCAGTGTGAAGGCTTTTTTAGCGTTCAATGTGCCGATGGTCCTATTGTAAATGTTATTTAACCAAAATTTTTTTCAATTTCGTTGAACTTCCAATTCCTCAGCGCTTGCAGATATGAGTGCCACCCAGGAAATTTTAATTCAAGTACTTATTAAGGCTTGAAAGGATGGCACCCTTATAATTCCTTCAACAATAGTGTTTCTTCTTTGAATATTCAAATGACACAAATAATTTAATAATTTTATTGGCAGTGGGAAGTAAAAACCTTTTAACCAATTGTAGTTTCAAATTCTGTTACAACTGGACAAAGCACCCGCTTTCTATACAGATACTATACAGAACACTTGCTATCGTGCTGAATAAATATTCCAATACAATACCGAAAAAAATACAGATGTCTGTGACCACACCCCTGAAATAAATGTATTAAATGCTGATCAGTCATGTACAAGTTGGCGTTGACTATGTATCACATTACAAATATTCATCATTACCATGCTGCTCATTTGTAACGTTGAATTTCATTGGGTAATCGTGGCGTTAATATTTTTATATACACAGTTGCTTCAAGTGTATGATTTTTTTACTATTTTGATATAAAAAGTTATTTTACAATATCAAAACTTAGCGAAATAGAATTTTGAAAGAGTATATGGCGTATATCAGCATTTGTTTGCTTTCCAACCTGCACCTCGTAACATGCATTGCTCCACCGTATACAGCTTAAGACGGCTCACCTACACAATATGTGTTAAAATCCGAGTAAATAGCAGATAAAAAAACACAAAGTAATATTTGCCAAAATATTTCACCAGGAAAAATATTTGAGACGTTATTAAAAATGTGTCATTTAAAGCTGCATGGATAAATTTCCTTAAAACAGAACGAGCTGATAATAAGTCTTATTTGCATATACTAAAATTCGTATACGAACTTTAGTGTTACCATGGAGTTTTTCCGTAAAATCGTAATTTATTAACAATTTTTGATGAGAATTACAACAATACTGTTAAAAAGGTTCATGAAACTGTAAAATGCTTGGTTTTTAATTAGACGCAAACTATTTTTACATATTCATTAAATGCAGCTTTAAGATAAACATAGAAAAAAGCTTTAGAAATCTACTATTTCATAAATATTACTATCTCATAACACAATATATTAATTTTAGCCATGGGGACATCATTTTACAACCATCTATCGTGATAAAATAAAGAAAAGATATATATTTTGTTAAAAAAAAGCAACAAAATTAACAAAAACTTTATTAAATTAAATATTTTAATGTTTTAATGGTAATCTAACTTATTTTTCTTTATAATCCATACATTTTAAAATTCAAGTATCAACATTAGAAGTTTTAATTTCCTTTACAAGAGTTTCGAATGAGTGGATGTTGAATATTATAAATTATTTAATGGCTAAAACATAGTCATTGTTCTTTTTTTTACAGAGTGGGGAAGAGTGTTTCTGCGGAAATAAAATAAGGCATTGTAAAAAGACAGCACATTGTACCTACAAATGTAGAGGTAACCCGGATGAATACTGTGGTGGTGATTGGCAAATTATGATATACGTCACAAAGTGTAACTATTTTTTTCATTCGTAAAAAAGGATATTGCAAAAGCGAATATATTAAACACTATCTAAAAATTAATAAAATGTTTAGAGGAGTAGGTCAAAATAATTTACTTTTGAATAAAAATGAAAATAAAAGTTTATTGTTGAAGCGAAATCATTTTGACAGCAAAACGGCATTTTTCTAATATCAAATGTTCTAATTATAAGTCACATTTTTTTGCTATTTAGGTTGTACCGTTGAATTATTACTTTCAAGATTTGAAACATTTTTATTACTGCTGAAGTTATATTGTTTTATGCCTTGTACTTTTAATAGAATATTTTCAAGCCAATAAAAACAATTTGTATTTAGTCATGTAACGGTTTAAATATTGTCTTACATTATGTATTCAAAAAGCATATGAAAATACGTCGACAACATCATCTACAGAAATTAGTGCGAGTACACATCACGTGACTGAGACTAGCAAAAGTACCAGTTCACAGTCGAGTGTAAGTCCCATGATTGAGACTAGCAAAAGTACCAGTCCACAGTCGAGTGTGAATCACGTGACTGAGACTAGCAAAAGTACCAGTCCACAGTCGAATGTGAATCACGTGACTGAGACTAGCAAAAGTACCAGTCCACAGTTGAGTGTGAATCACGTGACTGAGACTAGGAAAAGTACCAGTACACAGTCAAGTGTGAATCACGTGACTGAGACTAGCAAAAGTACCAGTTCAAAGTCGAGTGTAAGTCCCATGATTGAGACAGGAAGTACCAGTCAAAAGCCATCAACAAATCATGATACTTTATCTACACTTAATCCAGTGAGGAAAACGAACACAGGTTCGAAGTTCTTTTCCTCGTATGATTCATGATAAAAAATAGAAAGAGATTCAGTAAATCTAGATTTGTCTGTAAAATTGTCACTATATGTTATCATTACAACATTTTCAATATATATGTAATGTAAACTGTCTTGTATCAAAATAAACAAAATCAATGGTATAATCCGTCCAAAGAACATAGGAAATTGAACACTAATGTTATTTATGATAATGACAAGACTGTAAAGCCAGTATCAGTTATTCCACAGCAGATTATTTGCAAATTTAATATAATCACATATCATGATTAATTTGTTGGTTTCACATTCAAATTTATTATGTTACAATTACGACAACGAGTATAAGATTTGTACAGAAGAGATAAAAAAGCTGAAAAAGGAGTTTATAACTCCCACGTAGGAGTTATAAACTCTTAATTGGGCTTTTTATCCTATGTAGGAGTTATAAACTCCTAGTTAGGCTTTTTATCCTTCGTATTAATTATAAACTCCTAATTAGGCTTTTTTTTATATCCTACGTAGGAGTTATAAACTCCTAATTAAGCTTTTTTTATCCTACGTAGGAGTAATAAATTCCTAATTAGGCTTTTTTTTTATCCTACGTATAAGTTATAAAGTCCTACGTAGGAGTTATACACTCATAATTAGGCTTTTTATCTCCGACGTAGGAGTTTTCATTTTTATAGAACATGTTAAATTGGCACCAGGACACTTCCGTATAAAATTCCTAAATTAATTACTATTTAGTAATAAGCGTTACTATACTAAAACTTCTGATGAATATATGCTGTATAATGTAACAGTTATCATCATACTGAAACATGTTCTGTTTACACGTTTTACAGGCGATGACAAAACTTCTGTTTCCTATTTGTATATTTTATTGCCAGTGGGAATTATCGTTATAGCGGTGATATTGGTTATTATTATTTATAAGAGGCGGTAAGTAAGGCTTCCAAATTATTTTTGTATATTATTTCCTAAGCCATTTAGGGGAAGAATTAAATTATGGTAAAGGTTAAATTAACTCACAGGTGTTCGGCGCGTTGGTTGGTCACAACCCTCAAACCCCTCTATAACCCCAACGTTTCCCAAACAATCTAAAATGCAGTCAGTTTTTACATGTAATATCATACATGTATATGATTGTGACACATTTCATCCGTTTTTTTTTCTAAAAAGGTACATATTATAAAAATAAAAATAATATTTTCAAGTTGTACAATGGTTTGTATATGTACACGACATACAAGCTAATTGATAGATATCTGCCATCCAATTAGAACGACAGTTTTTACCAAGAACCGAACCGGATCCTCTTTCTTTAACGAATCTAAAGGCCTTTGCCAAAGAAAATCTAACTCAGAATGCAATTTTAAAAGGTTCATCTAATATGTCCTCACATGGCATCTTTCGTCGCCAGGCCTTCGTACATCCTAGCCTCTCCGGCGTGAAAGTCCATTGGAAATAAGGAAATGTGTGTAGATTAAGCATACAAAAAGGAGTCTACAATATTCTATTTAACATTGAGTAAATAAAGTTGACATTTCCGAATAAGCGAAAAATTCAAATTTTACAGTTATATTATGATAACAGCATGTTTTGTTCATTCTATTACCAAATTTGCAGAGTGAAATCTATATAGTCTAGAACCAACAAAATGTTCCTGCAAAAATTTACATTGTTTACACTTTGTTAGCATTTTGTGTACTTTTTTAAAAGTTCATGTACATACCCGTAGTTTTCATAAGCCTCGTCTGCTACCTGATGAACATATCTCAACCCAATCCAGACAGTCGACACTGCAATTTTCTGTTTAGTCATTGACTGTAGTTTTTCTCGTAAAATGAACTAAATTATGTCGAACCACACTTTTTTTCTGTAAAATCTGTTCTTTTTTATTCTATTGTCTAACAAGTTTTGAAATTGACGTGAACCAAATTTGAGTTATCTGCTTTCCTTTTGTGATTTGATGTAACAAAGTCATGGCTCTCTTGCATTGTTTGCTAATTAATGATGTTTTACTTGAATTTAAATTGAAATTGACAGTCCGTCATGGGACAGCACTCATAAATAAAGTCATATCATTAAGTTTTCGTTCCATGAAAAAGTAAGTAACTATTTGATATTTGCACATAAAATTTATTATTAATGTTTACAGGCTCCGTTGTAAGAAAGATTCCGATCCAGTAGCTTCAAATAGTGTGGTGTACGCTGCACCACACAGCACGGCATACCTTACTGCTGTACATGAAACCGAATCTGAGCATACAAACGCAATGAGGTCTGGATATGTTAATGATGCCAACACTGGTAATGAAGTTAACGACAGAGCTGGAAATTACACGGAAGAATCGGATGATTTTAATGTGATCAATCTCAGATCAAATAATAAGACTATTCACAATGATTCAAATGCTCGCCAGGTGACAGTAATACGATCTACAATAAACTAAAATTGGTTAACAGTGGAAATCAAAATAAAAGTGAGCTATTGTATGATGAAACGGATAAAGGATCGTTAGAGAGTAATGCTAAGAGACACACAATACACAATGATACAGAATAAGTCCAAGGATTCGATGAAGATAAGAAAAAAGGTGTTAAAGACAACATTTATGCTAATGAAGATGGATATAGTTTTTAACACAAATTTGAAATAGCGTTTCGACTGTTGTTGAAATATAGCACAGTGGTTAAATGTAATTGCATTTAACAACTCGGTTTACGTAAAATAGCACAACAGTAACAAGTTACTAATTTTCAAGTAAAACAATGGTTCAACTGTTTTATTTTGATAGCTGTTTGTTTGTTTCATTTTACGCCTTTTCCCCAACAGTATTTTAGTCATATAGGCGGGAAGTTTCCTAACCATCGTTCCTGGACAGTAACACCAGTACTAGGCTACCTTCCGCGCTAAACTACCAAAGCATCTCCCGGGGATCGAACCCACGCCAGGGAGGTAGCTTGATTGGGAGTCATCGACTCTAACCCCTCGACATTTTGATAGCAAACTTGGTCATGAATGGAATGATGTAACAATGGTTAAAGAAAAAATAACTCCACCATGTCCTGTATAACAAGTATCATATCTAACCGACAAATGGTTATTATTTCTGGTTTTCCGAATATGCTTTTTTTTTAAAACTTTGGTTTTTTTTTAAAGAAAAAAAACTTAAAAAATTTTTTTCCTTTTAAAAGGAAAAATTTTTTTAATTAAAAGTGAAAAGAATTTAAGAATATTTATTTTTATCCCTAAAATTAAGGGGAAGAAAAATGTAATTTTTACAATACCCCGGTTATAAAACAATAAAAATTTTTTTGGGGTTTTTTCTTTTTGTTTTTATGTAAAACTGAAATTTTTAAATGAAACCCCAAAAGGGAAAAAGTTTAAATATAATTTCCCCCCTTCCTTTCTTCCTTTTTACAATTTTTAAAAACCCCAGCCCAATCAAACTAAATTTTTTGGGTTAATTTTAATTTAATATTTTTTAAAACCCAAAAAAAAGTATGTAATGTTTCCCTTTTTAATCTAAATTTTCCAACGAAAGGCCCCCAAAAATTATGATAAAAAGGTTTTTTTTAAAAACATTTTTTTAACTGAAACCCTCAGCATAAATAAAAAAAGATAAAGGGGTTAAGTAAGAGAGTTTCCCAAAAGTTTAATTTAAAAAAATTTGGTAAAAAAAACACCCGCTATTCAGGGAACAGAAATTTTTTGTTATTGAATTTTTGGGTAATTTTAAATAAAAAATTTAAAAAAAACCCAATCTTGTCAAAAAAATTCCAAAAATGAAAAAGGGTTCCCCAAGTTACGCATATTCCAAAAGTTCGAAACAGTCAAACTATGTAAAAATTAAGAAAAAATTCGTTTTCCCAAAAAAATTAAACAAAAATTAATGCAGGGCAATACGGGGAATGCTTCATTACAAAATAAAAAAAATCCCCATTAAAAGACAACGATTAAAAAAAATATCACAGACGAAACGTTGAGGCAATTATTAAAATTAAATTCCCTTTTCCGTTACGTAAAAATGAAACGCGTGAAAAAATTCCCCCAGTTACTCTAAAAAAAAATTTATGTTCCCAAAAACCCTATTACAAAAGACAAAAATTTCCCACCCCCCCAAAAAACGGGTTTCATTTTATGACCGATTTTAAAATTATTAAAATAAAAGATTAAAGGAGTTTGCCCCCTTTTTGGGTTTTTGGAAATCTGGAGGGTTCGAATGAGGGGGCCCCGGGATTTTTTCTAACCTTAAACTGTTTATACAGAGTTTTTATAAAAATTAGAGCTTTTTTGCACGGGGAATTTTTTATCATTAAAAAATTTGGTTAAATATGTCATAGAAGTTGATTTTCCCCTTTAAGAAAAAAATAAATATATTTTTAAAGTTCACCGGGATTTTTGCATAGTTAAAAACATAACCCCTTTAAAGAAAAAATATTCCTTTTTTTTCAGGGGGAATTTATAAAACTTTGGGACTCAAAATTTCAAAATCCTGGCTTTTGGGTATGCTGTCAAAATAAAACATTAATTTATTTAAAAAAATTCTCTTTAACTTTAATTTAAAAATTTCTTAAAAATTTTTTCTAATGTTAAAAAAAAATGGGGGTTTGATTAAAAACCGTTTTACAAATTGAAAAAACATTAATTCCCTTTTTAAAAAATTTTTTTGTAGAAAAAAAATTTTTTTTTTTTCTTTTTAAAACCAAAACTTTTAAAATTTGTATGTAAAATGTAAAAAATTTTTGTCCCTGAAAAAAAATCAGAAAATAAAAAAATTATAAAAAAAAATATATAAAAAAAAGGAACAAAAACATAAATATGGTACGGGGCCCCCGGTAAACTGACTGAAAATCATGGTAAAAAAATTTTTAAAAACAGGATGCCATTTTTATATAAATATAATTTTTAAATCCCAATTTTTTAAATAACTTTTTATCCCCATCACTTTTCTTTAAAGATCCCAAAAACGAAATTTTTTGCTCTAAATAATTTGAACTTTCTACCCCTAAATAATTTAAAATATTAAAACATGATAAACCGGTTTCCCAAATTTTAACCCTTTTTCCAAAGTAATCAACAAAAAAAAAGACTAAAATATATTGCAAAACCCCAAATTGAAAAAACTTTGCTGCAAAATTTAAAAAAAATTAATACTTCAAAAATTTGCTTGAAATAAATAAATATGATAGAAAAAGAAAAAAAATGAGGGCCCATCAGGAAATATTGCTAACAGAAAAAACCTACAAAAGATAGCAGAACGGAACAAATATATTCTATTGGGAAGCAATATTTTTAAAACTTTTGATAAATAAAATAAAAAATAAAACCCCAAAAAATTTTATAAAATGTAAACGTATAGCTTTAAAAAAATTTTTTAATATAAAGGTCAAACGAACACAAAATTTAACAATCAACGGAATACCTAAAAAAAGGGAAAAAATTACCGGTTTTTATTTACTAGAAAACTAAATCAAGCCCCCCATTTTTTTTAATGCCCAATTACGATTTTTTTTTATAACCAACTATTTCACCTCTTGTCAAAATTCTTTTCATGTCCCTATGAAATTTAAAAATTAAACAAAAAAGGAACAAAAAGTTTTTTCCTTTACATAAAAAAAAAAAAAGTTTTTTTTTTTTTATCTAACAAAAAAAAAGTATACAAATTTTTTATCTTTCAAAAAAAACGCAAAAAAAATGAATTAAAAACCCTTGGGCCGTAAAATAAATTATCTCCCTTTTTTAAAGAAAACCATTGAAATCTGTTTTCCATTTTGAAACGACAACAAAAGCTTTGTAATTTACACAGAAAAAATTATTACTTTACCCCAAGTTTGGTTTTTCCTGTAATATTTTTTAATTAAAACATCCCTTTAAAATTTTTAAATTATAAATATGCCTTTCCCCTTTAAATCCTTTTATCCCTTTTAAAAATTTAAACAAAAACTAAACAAATAAACATATACTTTTTATTAAAAAAATGGGGAATGCGACCTTTTCTATAAAAAATATACACCATGTTAAAATCAAAACAATACCCACCATATTGACAAAATTGTACATAAAAACTTTTCAATAATTTATAAAATAATATATATCTACCCCATATTTTAAAAGTCAAATAGAAAAACTTACAAAAAAAGAAAAATAGTTTAATTTTCAATATATTTGACTTTTTTTCTATATCGTCCCTGGGGGCCCAAGCAAAATATTTTTTAATCGGTTTGACACCTTTTTTACATACTCGGCAAGAATTTTTGGGAAATAAACTTTTGATACGCCCATTATGGGAAATAAAAAAATTTTTAAGAAACTTTTAAAAAAAAAAAAAAAGCTTTTGTTTAAAATTAATGAAAAAATTTTAAAAAATTAAAAAATTTAATAAAAATAATAATAAATAATAAATAAAAATAATAAAAATAAAAAAAAACCAAAAAAAAACCAAAAATTTTTTTATAACAAATTTATGAAAAATGGTTCAAAATGCCAAAGGAAAAAAAAACCTGAAAAGGGAATATATTTAAGGGTTATTAGTTTTTTACTCTCTTGGAAATAAAAATTTTCAAATATATGAAAAATTTTGGGTTTAAATAAGTCTTTGGAAAAAAATTTCATTAAAAATGAAAGATATTTTACTTTTTAAACAAAAGAAAAGTAAAATTAGAATGCAACAAAAAAAAAAATGAAAAAAAATTTGAAAAACGTAAAAAATTCTTATCAAAAATTTGTTTTTTTTTTTTTTGCTTTTTAAAAAACCAATTCCATCCTTTTAAACCCCCCTTTTAAAAAACCCCAAAAAAACATCATTTGGGAAATGAATTTTGGTCAAAAAAAAGGAAAACGTCTTTTTTTTAAGCTTTTAAATGAATTTGAAATTTATACCTATAAAAAAAAATCCTAAATGGATAATAAATTTCGAAAAAGTAAAAAAGTAAATTTAATTTTGAAGGGAAACAAAAAAAAAATTAAAAAAAGAAAAATAACGTGAAAACGAAAAAAATGAATGATGTTTTATTCAAAAAAAAAAAAAAAAACCGGGCGTCGTCAGAGAGGGGAAACCTTTTTGGTATCTAGATTTTGGGGTTAACCCTTGTGGAAACTCGACAGGGCCTTAAATTTAAAAATTTTAGAAACTTTAAAAATAAGAATCAATACAAAAAAAAAGTTAAATTTAATCTGTAATTTAAACAGTAAAAAAGTTCCAACGTAAACACACCAAAAAAAAGCGTAAAACTTTTTAAAAACCTTAAAATAAAGGGGAAACCCACCAAAAAAGGGGAAGCTTAAAAAGAAAAGGAAACAAGCCCCGGAAACGTCATTTAAATCGGAAAGATTGGGGTAAATCATTAAATTTTAAAATTTAAAAAGGCCATTTTTTGGGAAACCCCCAAATTTTTTTTAAAAAAAATTTTTTTTTAAAAAAGATTAAAGGTTTTTTAAAGGGAATTT